CACACACACACACTTTTTTTTGCCCACACTTGCACTTACACTCATATCCATCTTCATAGGTAGTGTTTTCTGGTGGTCCCAATCCTGTCCTAGTTAATATTCAGTAACTACAGGATGGAGGACATTTTTCCTGGTTTTCCCACTCATGATCCTGCCATCTTAGCACCAGGTCCTTCTTGGCTCCTTCCTTTCTGGTGCTGGGACCTGTTGTTCTAGGAAGCAGACACATTTCTCTTGTCTGCACAATCTTTTGATGCTTACGGGCTTCCAATGAATAAGGTCCCAGGGCTGTCCTTGGCCTCCCTCAACCAAAGCCCATTTGCCTGCTTGGCCATTTTATGGGATCTTTCTCGTACTGTTTTTATTCAAGATACATGGAGTGACCCCTCCTGAGATGCCATTGCATGTCACCATTCCAGGCACATCCTATCACCCTCACTCTTCTCCGACCTTCTCAAGACCTCTCCCCACCCCCACCCCCAACCCATCCGCTGCCTGGACAGTCTCTCCAATATTAACTCATCCCGATCCTTCCCAACTCCTAGTATCCTGTCTCTCCTTCCCAAGTCCAGGTGTCCTGGCCTGTCTTCCCACTCAGCCCTGGAACAGCCTCTCTAGTTCCTATCTTCCCACCATGACCTAGTACATTTCATAACAAAAACAAATATAATACTCACTGATATTTATGTAATGCCATAAGGTATGCAAAATGCTTTATGATCTTATTTGATCCTTCAAAAACCCCATGAGGTAAGTATCATAGATATAATTATTGCCCTTTTTAATGGATAAGGAAACAAGCCTGGGGAGGTTAAGTCTCTTGCTCCAACTCACAAATTGGCAGAATTTCAATCCAAGTTTCTCCTGATTCCCAGGTAAAGCTCTCTTTCTCCTGTACCATAGCTACTTCTTTAACAGCTGACATTTATATTGTATTTCATGGCTTAAATGTGTTTTACATTCATTATTTCAATTGATTCTGTGAGAGAAGTACTATTCCTATTTTGTAAAAGGAAACAGGATCAGAGAGGTTATAGGTAGCTCGTTCCTGGTCACACAGCTATCAAGTGTCAAGGGCAGGATTCAAACCTGGGTCTTTCCTGATTTCAAGCCCTATGCTCTTTCTACTTACTATGCCGTCACTATCTACTCCTCCATCGCTTATTTCTGCCCCAGCATGCATGCAGGAGCATTTATGAAGGCATACATTACCTCCTGGCCACCCCAGCCCCGTTGGGCCCCTTGGTCCCAGCCCATGGCTCTTTCTGCTCACTGGCCTTCGTCATATTCTGAGCCAGCAGCAGGGGGGGCTGATGGAGGTAGGGTCAAGGTCACATGAGCTATCTTGCCTCCCTATGTCCAGAAGGCTCTCTCCATCTCCTTACCCCAAATCCCTCCCTTTTTTGAAACATCCATTGTCTCTTGCATCTCCTGAGACTCCTTGGTTTTTTTCTCTCTCAGAGAAAGGGGTGGGAGGTTGTAGGAAATGTTGGGAGAGGGGAATGAGACCAGGGAGATGGGGAGGAGGGTTGAGGATGAGGAGGCTACATTTTGGGGACCCATCCTCCTCCTTCCCCTGTCCCCAGGCTGCTGGCCCAGCGCCAACGTCACTCCTTTGGCCTGCATGGAGTGATATGTGTGGGCACTGAGGCTCACCTCTCCCTCTGCCCCCTGGAATTCTATCGTGGCAATGACACTGCCCGGTGCCCAGGTGGGGCACCCGCCGTGGTGAGCTGTGTGCCAGGCTCTCTTTATGCCATACCCAGTGGCCAGAGAAAGAAGCAATCATCAACACAACCTCGGGGAGAGGTGTGTGTGACCCAAACAGAGGGAGGTCCCCCATGCCCACTTCCTAACCAACCCAGCCCACCCCTCCTCAAGGAACCAGTGGGACCCTGATAATACCTTTCTCTGAACCTGACCCTCTAGGATAGAGATAGCAATTCCCTAGGGCTTGTATTCACCCGAAACCCTCCACCCCTTGCCCCAAGCTGTGCGTCTACCTCCCTAGCCCTGTTAATACTCTTCCCCCATCTCTATGTCTCTCTCTTCAGCCTCGGCTTCGTCTGAAAGGCGGAGCTCGGCTGGGTGAGGGCCGGGTAGAGGTCTTGAAGGGCGGTGAGTGGGGCACAGTCTGTGACCACAAGTGGGACCTCCTGTCAGCCAGTGTTCTGTGCCGGGAATTGGGCTTTGGGAGTGCCCGTGAAGCCCTGAGCGGTGCCCGAATGGGACAGGGTGAGCTAAAGGCAGAGAGCAATAATCCATATAGGGTGGAGGGAGTACCAGGGGGCACTGGGAAAAGTTATTGGGCAGTCATTGTGGAAGTGGGGACATGTTATCTATAGCCCCCTGTCCTCTATCCCCTGACCCCAGGTATGGGTCCCATCCATCTGAGTGAGGTGCGCTGCTCAGGTCGGGAAGCTTCCCTTTGGAGCTGCCCCTACAAGAACATCACTGCTGAGGACTGTTCCCATGCCCAGGATGCCGCTGTCCGCTGCAACCTGCCTTACACCGGGGTTGAGACCATGGTCAGCTTTGTTCTCTGAGGCCTGGCCAAAGGCTTATCTTCAGTGCCCTGTGCTCTCCTCATTGCCTCTTTTCCTGCATCCTTCCCTCTCTGACTGTCTCAACCTCTAACCATCCCTCCCAACTCATCTCTACTATCCTCTTGAGCTCGTGACACCTCATTCAGCCTTCCCTTTGCTCCCTGCAGATCCGGCTAAGTGGGGGCCGCAGCCGTTATGAAGGACGAGTGGAGGTGCAGGTAGGGGGGCCTGGCTCCCCTCGCTGGGGCCTTATCTGTGGAGATGACTGGGGAACACTGGAAGCCATGGTGGCCTGTCGGCAACTTGGTCTGGGCTATGCCAACCATGGCCTTCAGGTTGGTACAGAGGAAAAGGGGGAAAATAAGGGTTTTTTCCCCATGTTTCCTGGGCTCTCATGTGTCCACACGTCCATGTTTCCAGGAGACATGGTACTGGGACTCGGGGAATGTCACTGATTTGGTACTGAGTGGAGTTCGCTGTACAGGCTCTGAGCTGTCCCTAGGAGAGTGTGCCCACCATGGCACCCATATCGCTTGCAAGAGGACAGGCACACGCTTTGCTGCTGGTGTCATCTGTTCTGAGAGTGAGGGGGGAGTGGGCCAGGGGAGGGGGGCCCCTGGCCCGGTATGACACCTCTTTGGGGCAGGGAATGGGGACCTGTGGCCAGGGGAAAGTCTCATCCAATCCCTATGCAGACTGGGAGAGGAGGCCCCCTACTCTTTTTTTTTTTTTTAGGCAGTTGAGGTTAAGTGACTTGCCCAGGGTCACACAGCTAATAAGTGTCAAGTGTTTGGTCTGAGGCCGGATTTGAACTCAGGTCCTTCTGACTTCCGTGCTCTATCCACTGTGCCACCTAGCTGCCCCTCCCCCTACTCTTCAAACTCACAAAAATCACCTGCCCTTGTAACCTGTGACCTCCTTCCTCCTCCCACCTTCCCAGCTGCATCAGACTTGATACTTCACTCAGCACTGGTGCAGGAGACTGCTTACATTGAGGACCGACCACTACACATGTTATACTGTGCGGCAGAGGAAAACTGTCTGGCTCGCTCTGCCCGGGCAGCCAACTGGCCCTATGGCCACCGGCGATTACTCCGTTTCTCCTCCCAGATTCATAACCTTGGCAGAGCAGACTTCAGGCCCAAGGCTGGGCGACACTCCTGGGTGTGGCATGAATGCCATGGGTGAGGGAAAGGGGTCTTGGCTAATGAGAGGGAGAAGATGAGAGTCAGTGGGGGAGAGAGGAGGAACTGTACACTCTATGGGAGAGGGCCTCAAAGGCCTTCACAGTGATGGCGGGTGCAGGCCTGTAGGCCCCTGTTAATCCACCCCACAGGCACTACCACAGCATGGACATCTTTACTCACTATGACATCCTGACACCCAATGGCACCAAGGTGGCGGAGGGTCACAAGGCCAGTTTCTGTCTGGAGGACACTGAATGTCAAGAGGGTGAGTAAAAGCCTGAAAAGGGGCTCCCCATCCACCACCAGAATCTAGCCACACCTCAAAGGTCTGAGGAAACTTCCCTACCTTGGGTCTCAGACTCCCTGCCTATGCCTGGGAGTTGTGGCAGCTGATGCCTCCTGGGGCTGCTCCATCCTCTGAACTCCCCATCCCCCCCAGACGTCTCCAAGCGGTATGAGTGTGCCAACTTTGGGGAACAGGGCATCACCGTGGGCTGCTGGGATCTTTACCGGCATGACATTGACTGCCAGTGGATTGACATCACAGATGTGAAACCAGGAAACTATATCCTGCAGGTGAGGGGGACAAAGTGGGGGAATATCTGGGCTCTCTAGGGCTGGGTACACCCAAAGGGAACTCAGATCCCTAATTCTTCTCCACATTAGGTGGTCATTAACCCCAACTACGAAGTGGCGGAGAGTGACTTCACCAACAACGCGATGAAATGTAACTGCAAATATGATGGACACCGCATCTGGGTGCACAACTGTCACATTGGTAGCAGGGCTGGGCTGAGCGGGGTGGCAAAGCCCTCTCTCCCACCCCCATCCCACTCTACCTTCCTGTTCCCCTCCCACGTACCCTCAAGCTCAGGCCTCCTACTGGGGCCAGGGCCTGATCCAGCTCCACTGCTATTTCCTTTCCAGGCGATGCTTTCAGTGAAGAGGCCAACAGGAGATTTGAACGCTACCCCGGCCAGGCCAACAACCAAATTGTCTAAGGCTCCTGATCTGTCTGCTACCTGGCTCCCTGGACCTCCCCACCCTCAGGGCACTACTGGAGCCAGACTTTGGCTTCAGCCAAACAGTCTGGCGCATGGACTGGGAAGGAGGATTCCCCATGCTTCCACCACTGGACTGGAGCAGAGAGAGCAGCTCCCTGCCATGCACAGCGATGTCCTGGGGACATGGTCAATACCTCCAGTCTTTTGATTTTGGGGAGGAATCCATCCTACTCCCCTCACTCTCGGCTACAACATGTCACTAGTTAAAATTTTATTTTATTTTTATTTTATTTTATATAAAACATTTCTCCTGTTTCTTTGGGGTATATAAGGGGGAGGGCCTGCCCTCCCCTGGCTCATTCCCCACCTTGACCCCCCTCCCAAGCTATTCCAGCCTCATGGAAAAAGGGTATGGAGACAGGGCAAGGGCCATACCCTCCCCTTCTCCTTCCATTTGGAGTAAACAAGATTATGTAAGGACTTAGGCCCTTCTGTCCATCTGGTCACTCAGTGACCTCTGGAGTCACAAACAGGGTCAGTGTATCCAACCCTCTTCGGACCTGCATGGCCAGCTTGGGTTGTGTACGAACAGCCTCATATACGTCTTCTGCTGATTTCACTGCCTGATTCCCAATGGACAGAATTATGTCCCCTGGCCGCAGACCAGCCCTGAAGAAGGAAAGAATCAAAGAGGGGAACCATGGCCCTGCCCTCCCTCTTGCAAGCTTCCACAACTTCCTTCTACCCACTGAGACACAACCTTCCCCCCTCACCGGTGTGCAGGGGAGCCCAGAATGACTTTGTGGATCAGGACACCATGCTGGACATCAGGGAAACTCGGCTCCCGAAGCTGCAGCTCGGCCAAGATGCTGATGGGGACATAAGGCATGGTTAGCCTTACCTGGTCACCACCCCCTCCTTCAGCCAAATATACTGACCACATTCTCAACGTATGCCCCCTAAGTGAAATTCTAGGGGTAAAAAGGCAATTTCGGTAAGTCCTTTACCAAATGAAAAGCATAGACAACAGCAGACAGAGAAGCTCAGAACAGAGAGGAATCACTGAAGACAATGATATTCACTCAAGGCTTCATAGAGCAGAAGGTGGGACTTAAGCTGGACTTCAGAAGACAGATAGAAGGGGGCAGCTAGGCGGCACAGTGGATAGAGCACCGGCCCTGAAGTCAGGAGGACCTGAGTTCAATTCCAGCCTCAGACCAAACACTTGACACTTACTAGCTGTGTGACCCTGGGCAAGTCACTTAACCCCAATTGCCTAAAAGCAAAAAAAAAAAAAAAGAAGAAGACAGAGAAAAAAGGGTAGTGCATTTTGGATGTAGAAATGTAACTAAAGGTGCAAAAATTACTAAGCTTATCTTGCCAGAGTCTTAAGAGAACAGAGTATAGCAGGAATGGTAAGCTGGGGCCAGACAGAGCCCCGAATGCCAGGCTGAGAAAGTCTGTACTTCATTCCAGTCAGTGGGGAGCCCCTAGAATCAGAAGCACAGAGGGTGACTTGTGCAAAATGTTGCTTTGATATGATTATACCTGGATAAATTAAGGAATGAACTAGAGACAAAGAGATGAATTAGAAGGGAAATACAAGGATCCTGGTACAGGACAGGTAGGTGACAAAGAGCTGAAATAAGGTGATTTGCGATGGAAGTAAAAGGGAAACAGGGGAGAGGCTAGGGAACTCTTTCACTGTTTGGTGGCTGAAGGTTAAACAAGAAACAGTGACTTATGATTCTCAACCTGGCAGTCACTCTCACCACTCCTACCCCATTCCTCCCAAAGGTCATACCTAGGTGTTAGTGTTAGCATCATCACCCCAATGTATCGACGTTTCAACTCATTGCTCCCAAACCAGGAACCTGGTACGGAAAGAAAACCAAGAAGCCCTGTCAGCCTCTCAGCGTTGTGTCCTCCCTTCTTGGTCACCCCAGCATCCCCCAACTATCCCTCCTCACTCAGGCACTGCTCTTCCTTTACTCCCAACATCATCCCATGACTGTCTCCTCTTCCCTACTTACTCTTCTTCTCCCCTCGCTGCAGAAAATCCCGCAAGCGATCAGAGGGGATGGCAAAAGAGATCCCAGCTGTGACCTTCATTGTGTTCACCCCAATCACTTCTCCATCCTGCAGGGACATAGCCCCCACCCCAGCACAATTCAGCCAGGGGTGAGGGGGAGACACAGATAGGTAGGGAAATAGGGCAGCCCCAAAATCTGATCAAGGACCCTTGTTTCAAACACTTTCCCCACCCCCAAATGGGTCCTGGGGAAAATAAAGATGAATAGCCCTACTCTAGAGGTGGTGCCCCGAGAGCTGACTTAATAGCACACTTACCAAATTAACCAGAGGGCCCCCAGAGTTTCCAAACTACAAGGGAAAAAAAGAGGAAGGGGATAGTAAAAGAATGAGACTGGGATGTAAATTCTTTCTTCAAACTCTATATCCAAACTATCCAACCCCCCACACACCACAAAGACTACGTGTCTTCCCGCCTTCCTCTACACAATCACGTTCTTGGCCCAATCTGCCTTCACACCCCTGTCCTATCTCCATCCCCTGCGTACATCAATAGCAGCGTCGGTCTGGATATACTCAGCGTTGGGCTGAGGCAGGCCGAGGTCCCGGGCTCGACGCTGGGCTGAACTAACAATGCCAGAGGTGATGGTGTTCTGAAGGGCGAAAGGACTTCCCATGGCAACAACAAATTCACCCTGGCGAACTTCAGCAGAGCGGCCCAAGGGCAGCGTGGGGAGGGAGTCCTGGGAAGCAGGAGGAATTGCTGAGGGAGCAGATGAGCTCCCAGGGAGTTGGGTCAGTGTATCGGCTCGACTCGGGGGTTGAGGGGCTGTTGGAGTAGGACTGGGCTGGTCCAATGCCCACCCCCCCAACCTTGGTTGGGATCCTGAGTGTGGCAATGTCAGCCACAGGGTCCACAGCGGTAACAGTGGCCTCGTAGGTCTCCCCACTGAGCAGTCGCACACGGACCCGCCGCCGGTCAGCCACAACGTGGGCATTGGTGACGATGAGGCCGTCAGAGGCCACGATGAAGCCCGAGCCATTGGAGATGGGGACCTCTCGACCAGAGAAGGGGTGTCTGGGGAAAAGAGAGTGAAGAACACGGTGTGGGTGGGCTGGAAAAGAGAGAAAAAGGGCAGAAATGGGGGTCAGGTGAGGGTATGGCGGGACTGCCTAAGGGGTGAAGGTCAGCGAGGGGTGGGGAGGTCATTTTGTCCCTTTCCAACGCCCCCTACCCCAGTCGTGGCCCCTCCCCACCAAGTCTAAGGAGACAGAAGGGGGCAGGGGTTCCCGCCCCCTCAGTGCCCACAGCTGGAGGGCCCCCCCCAGGATGAAAGATCGGAGGTCAGCGCTTCCCCCGCCCCCCCCAGCCTGCCCAGTTACCGGCCCAGAATCTCGATGTAGACCACGGCGGGCGCAGTCTTCTCCACCACGTCTGCGATGAAGTTGTAGAGCCGCCGCGGGGAGGAGGGCGGAGGCGTGGGGACAGCGGCCAGGACAGCTGGGGGCGTGAGGCCCAAGCCCGGCCGTCGCCTGCGGCCCCCAGAGCCCCACAGCAGCAGCAGCGCCGCCGTCCCCGCGCCCAGCGCGGCCGCCGCCCACCGGCGGGCTCGGGGCTCCGCGGGCTCGGTTGTCCCGGGCGTCTCGGCCTCGGCCAAGGGCAGGGGCCGCCCGGCGAGGCTCCGGAGCCCGCCCAAGCTCAAGGTGTGAGCCCGGCCCGCCCTCCTCAGCAGCGCCGCCGCCGCCATGGCTCCCCGCCGGCCCGGGCCCTACCCTAGAGGCAGTGCCCTGAGAGCTGACTGGGCCAACGAGGACCGACCGGGAGTTACGATCCCGACGCACCTCGGGAGCTGTAGTTCTCCAGCTGGGGTGGGCGGGGGCCTGCGGTGCATGCCGGGAGGCGTAGTCCCCAGTCAACTTCCTACGTTCCGAGACCCACAGTCCTGTGCGGTGCGGCGCGCCACGCGCGGGGTGTGTTGGGAGTTCTGGGCCCTCCAGCCCAGAGGGCTGGCGCCCAAAGGCCAGGCCCTCGCCTTCCCAGGAGCCCGCGCGGCCGGCCGGGGACTATCATGGCGACGGGGTCTGGGCGGCCCTGAGGCGGTGACGGCGGCGGCGGCGGCGATGGAGCCTTCGCCGGCCCCGGGCCCGGAGCGGCTCTTTGATTCACACCGGTGAGAAAGCCGCCCCGGCCCTCCCTGCCTGCAGCCCCCTCCCTGCCCCGAGCCCCGGCCCCTTCCCGGCCTCCAGTCCGGCCCAGGCCCGCGGGCCTCTGACGGCCGCTGCCTTCCCTCCTCCCCTGCCCCGCGGGGCCCAGGCTCCCCAGTGACGGCTTCCTGCTGCTCGCCCTGCTCCTCTACGCGCCTGTCGGGCTCTGCCTCCTGGTGCTCCGCCTCTTCCTCGGGCTTCATGTGTTCCTCGTCAGCTGCGCGTTGCCAGACAGCGTCCTCCGCAGGTACTAGCGCGATCTGGGGGCAGGGACAGGGGCGGCCCTCCCTTTGGCAGGGCCTCACACAACGTCTCGTGCCTCCCAGGTTCGTGGTCCGGGCCATGTGTGCGGTGCTGGGTTTTGTGGTCCGACAGGAGGCTCCCCGGCTCCGCGATCCCAGCGTCAGGGTCTTTATTTCCAATCATGTGACACCCTTTGACCACAACATGGTCAACCTCCTCACCAGCTGTAGCACCGTGAGTGTGTCCAGGGGGGTAGGGAGCCTAACCCCACTGGCCTGGCCCCTCGGGGGTCCCCCTGCCCTTCCCGACGAGCTTCCTCCCCTCCCAGGGACGCTCGGAGCCCAACCAGCCTCTTTCTTCCTCTCCACCCCTTCCCCCTATTTCTGGTGCCACTCCCTTGTTCCCCCTCCTAGCCTCTTATCAACAGCCCTCCTGGCTTCGTGTGCTGGTCTCGGGGCTTTGTGGAGCTGGATGGCAGCGGGGAGTTGGTGGAGTCGCTGAAAAGATTCTGTTCTTCGAGAGGAAACCCACCTGCCCCCTTGTTGCTGTTCCCTGAAGAGGAGGCGACCAATGGCCGGGAGGGGCTCTTGCGATTTAGGTAAATGGTTAAGAAGGACAAGAATAGCTAAACCAGACAACAGGCCCTTAAACTAATAAACTTATATTGAGGTTACTTAGAAGATGCCAGAGATTGTAGGGACTTTCCATTCCCTCCTATCTCCTTTCCTTCTTACAAATACTCCCCAACCTTCCCCCTGCAGCTGAAGTATATCTTTTTTCCATCTTAGTGTTTCCCACCTTTCTCATGGTTTTGTTCTGTTTAGTGTTTTGTTCAGTTTCTTATGTCTCAGATATGACTTCTGGTGACCCACCCTTCACGACTAACTCTGATCCTATGATCTTTGTCCCTTTCTGCAGTTCCTGGCCATTTTCTATCCAGGATATAGTTCAACCACTTGCCCTTCGGGTCCAGAGGCCCTTGGTCTCTGTGGTGAGTGTATGGACAGGGAAAGTTTGAGCTTGGTTTTTTGGGTTGGGGGCAAGGGAGTCTCCTTGGTTGGCCCTGGCTTAGTTCTCAACCTTTTGTTTCCTCCCTTCAGACAGTGTCCGATGCCTCCTGGGTCTCGGAGCTGATGTGGTCACTTTTCGTCCCTTTCACGGTGTATCAAGTAAGGTACTAACTGTTCTTAGTTTCTGGGGGGGAGGGAGAGGTCACCCCATAAATTCTGACTTAGCTAACACTTCTTCCCATACACAGTCTCCTACTCCAAACCCAAGGGGATATGGGTTGTGGAAGAGGCAAAAGCTTTTGGCTTCTATGAAACTTGCCCTAACTTCTCTTGTGCAGATGGCTTCGTCCTGCCCATCAACAGCCAGGGGAAGGGAGTGAGGCATTTGCCCTTCGTGTCCAGCAGGTAATGGTGATTGGGGAGGTGAGTGTGTTGTGGGGTCTGATGGGCTGTGACCCTTGGCCTCACCTTCCAATCATCCGCAGTTGGTGGCCAGGGAGCTGGGCCAGAGAGGAACTCGACTCACACCTGCAGATAAAGCAGAGCACATGAAGCGGCAGCGACACACCAGACCTCTTCCCCAGTCAGGTATGTCATTTTCCTTCAGGTTGTCTCTGAATATGGTCACCCCTCATCACATCTCCCATTTCTTTCTTGCAGCTCGGCCTTCTCCCCCTTCAACACCTGGCCCCTCCCCTGACTGGCAGCTGCAGCTGTCAGCTCTTTCCCAAAGAGTCAAAGAGGTTTTACCCCATGTCCCAATTGGCATCATCCAGAGAGATCTGGGTATGGGAAAAGGGAAAGATAATTCCGGAGAGACCTGGGTTATGGGATGGGGACAGAACTCCGGGGACACTGAGTCCGGGTTTAAGAAAGATCACCTAGAGAATCAGAAGGAAGAAATGTGGGATGGGGAAGAAACCTGAGAATAGGTGAGGAGAGAAACCCCCATTCTCCTTTCTTCTCCAGCCCGAACTGGCTGTGTAGACACAACTATCACTAATCTGCTGGAGGGAGCTGTAGCCTTTGTGCCTGAGGATATTGCTGAGGGGTCCCAAACCCTTCCACCTTCTGGGCCCTTTCCCACAACTTCTGTCTCCAAGGTGAGACCCAGGAAGTGGGGTGGGGGTGGGGGGAGTCTTAGGCTGGAGTGTGGGGCATGGGGAACTTCCCAAGATTGGATCTTTTTCAATTCTACCCCAGTATCTTATGTAAGTTAGGTGTTTAATAAATACTGGATAACATCTCAACCCTGTGACCCCTAGTCCCCCAGCTCTGACCCTGTGACCCCTCAGCCTGCCGCTCTGTTTGCCAAGTCTTCCTGGGCCCGTCAGGAGAGCCTGCAGGAGAGGAAGCAGGCACTGTATGAATATGCCCGAAGGTGAGGTTGGAAGGAGCCTGGGGAGCTTGGGGGGAGCAAGAGGAAGGGAGAAAAATCACACAGTAGGCAGTGCACATCCCACATTTCCCAACCACCCTCCTCCCCATCCTGCAGGAGATACAAAGAGAGACGGGCCCAGGAGACTGACTGAGCCCAAAGGAGATGGAGCAAGCCAGGGCTGCAGGACGGAGGCCAGGGGGCAGGCCCCCCCCCACACACAGGCCGGATGGGTGGGGCGTGTGAAGGGAGGGAATGGGCCTCCCCAACTTCCCATTAAATTCAGGGTTTTCACTCAAGACAACCTCGTTTTCCTGTCTGGGCTTCTGGAGTCCTTAGGGTAGTCATGCCCCCCCTTCTTGGTTCTAGGGCATTGGTTATACTGGGGAGTTGGTGGGGAAAGAAGAGGGTCCTTGGAATCTATCCCCATTTTCAAGGGGGTGTTAGCGAGTTAAGTCAAACTGCGGATTAAAGGCTTGACAAAAGCCCTCGACAAAAAGGGGCTAAACTTGGTTTTTACCCTTACCACCAAGCAGGAGCACCGCTCCCCGGTATTTAAACTACAAATCCCAGGATACATTTCGCGGTCAGGGCCCGGCATGCAAAGCGTCCGTTCTGGCCGCGCATGCTCGCTGTCGAGTGGCGGAGCCCTCGTTTCCATGGGTTCCTGGTACCCGGCGGGGGCGGGGAAGCAGCCACGCCCCCCACACCGGGCTCCAGGGTGGAGCCGGAATTTACCTTTGTACTGAACGAGGAGGGTGGGTCGGGTTGGGACGAGCCGGGCGTCCGCCGGGTGGGGTAAAATCTGCGTCCGAGTGTCGCCGTCTCCAGCTTCGGGTCCGGGTGTCCAGCTCCTCGCGAAGGTTTCATTCCACGAGTCTGGCGGCTCCGCCACGTTCTGCGCCGGCCCTGGGCCCTCACGTCTGCACCGCCAGCTGTTCGCGAGGGAAAGGACCACGGTAGCCCCGCCCCCAAGGCCGGGGGAGGGGGGGGGTCGCTGGTGCCGGACTCTCCCAGGCTCCGCCTCGGCTCCCCACCGGCACTGCTGGAGTCCGTCACCTGACTGCAGGGTTTGGATCCTTTCCTGTCCGGGTACCCCGGTCCCTACCTTAGGTGTTCCGCGGCGGGGCTTGGTCAGCCCGGAGGAGGGGGCGGGCTCGCTCGAGGGGAGGGAGTATCCTTGGCGCCAGCCTCCTCCGATCCCCCTCGGGTCCTGCCCACTTGATCTCCTGCAGGTCCTGCCTCGGCTGCCATGGCCTCGGCCGTCCCCGGGCCAACCGAGGAGGCGGGCCCGAGTCCCGATGGGTCGGACCTAGCCGTGAATCCGTATGACGGACTCCCCTTCTCCTCTCGATACTACACTCTGCTGGCCCAGCGCCGTGCCCTCCCCATCTGGGCGGCACGCTTCAGCTTCCTTGAGCAGCTGGAGAGCAGCCCCAGCGGTGTGGTGCTGGTGTCCGGGGAACCTGGCTCCGGCAAGAGCACCCAGGTGGGGGCGGGGCGGGGTGTTCCTGGGGTGGGGGGCGGAGGGAGGCTGAGAGCCGCCGGGGAGCATGCTTTAAACACAATCCTGCCAACTCCAGCGCTTGCAGTGGTAGAGTTTGGGACAGGCCGATCCCCACCTGAGTAATTTAAAACCTGGCCTGTGTCTCTGTTGACTCACGACTAGATTCCTCAGTGGTGTGCTGAGTTTGCTCTGGCCAGGGGATTCCAGTATGGCCGGGTGACAGTCTCACAGCCACAGCCTTTGGCTGCCCTGAGCCTAGCTCTTCGAGTAGCTGATGAAATGGATCTAAGCTTGGGCCACGAAGTTGGCTACAGCATCCCTTTGGAGGACTGCACTGGACCAGACACCCTGCTCAGGTCGGGTGCTCCACATCTAACAGCCAGCCCCTGTTTCCCCTGCTCAATCAGCTTTCCTAACACTTCACTCAGTACTCTTAGAAGAAATGAGTTGGGCCTGCATTAGACACCTGTCCCTTCCTGTCTATTACTACCTGGACTCTGTTCTCAACACAACACTTTTGTCACCTCACCCAAGGACCCAAGTCCTTCCTCTTCATCCTCAGAGTAACTCAACAGGTCTGTAAGTTTTCAGGACCAAAAAGGGTATCTTGTCACAAGATCACAACCTCCTCACCATGTTGCTGAGGTAGCATAGTGCACTGAGTTTAGGGTCAGAAAGATCTGAAGTCAAACACTGCTTGCCTGGACCAGTCACTTAACCCATCTGTGCCTCAATTTCTCCCTTATGGGGGAACTGGACTGTGACTTCTCCCATCTAGTTCTGAATCCATGAGTGAGTCCTGACTCATACAACACAAAGTCCTGGGTGGTAGTGACTGCCACACCTCTGACTCCTAACCCCTCCTTCCCTCCTTTTCCTTTGTTGACAGGTTCTGCTGGGACAAGCTGCTGTTACAGGAAGCAGCCTCAGCCCGAGGAGCTGGAGCTTGGGGTGTTCTGGTATTAGATGAGGCCCAGGAGCGGACAGTGGCCTCTGATGTGCTGCAGGGATTATTGCGTGATGCAGGATTGGGAAACAGCCTTGAGGGCCCACGATTAGTCGTGGTCACCAATCCAGCCTTTGAACCTAAGCTCTGTGCCTTTTGGGGTAACCCTCCTGTGGTGCGGGTGGCTCGGGGGCCTGAAGAGGGCCCTGTTCCTGTGTACAGGGATCCTGCTCCCACTGATCTAGTGGGTGCTGCCTGCCAAGCTGTACTGGAGTTACACCAGGGTGGGGCTCCAGGGGATGTGCTGGTCTACCTGCCCAGTGAGGAGGTGAGTGGGATCATGAGGGATGCTGAAAGGAAGTCTTAATGTCTTCTTTTATGCCAATGCCTCCCTATCTTTCCACAGGACATTTTGCGCTGCTGTGAGTGTCTTCAAAAGGAGGCAGAGCACTTGGGTCCCCAGCTGACCCAATTTCAGGTGCTGCCACTACATGCTGGGCTTGGCCGGGCAGTCCAGGCTGTGTACGAGGATGTGGAGGGAGGCCCTCGGAAAGTTGTGGTCACTCATTGGCTGGCCGACTCATCTTTCTCGATCCCCTCAATCCATCATGTCATCGATTCAGGGCTGGAGCTTCGAAATGTGAGGGACAGGGTCTCTGCCTTCAAGTAGGGGGTGAGGGTGAGAGTGGAAAGGGCTGGCTGGGCTGGAAATAGCAGCCCCTGATTGTGTCTGGGACCTGTGGGGGATAGGTTTACAATCCTCAGATCCGGGCTGAATCCCAAGTGATGAGGCCAATCAGCAGAAGCCAAGCAGAAGCCAGGAGGCTGAGAACCACAGGCTCCCCACTAGGTAAGAAGCTCATTTGTTCCAACTGACGTCCAAGACAAGGACCCCTCCCCCAAATGAGGACATAGAAGAGGCCCTCCCTCTGAATCTTTCCTTCATTTTCTCCCTTCAGGATCCTGTCTCCGTCTATATCCTAAGTCTTTTTTGGAGCTAAGAGCTCCCTCAGTTCCTCCACCTCGGGTATGTGAGGAGAATCTAAGCCGACTAGTGCTGTTGCTGAAGAGGAGACACATTGCAGAGCCAGGAGAGTGTCACTTTCTGGACCGGCCCGGTGAGACAACCTACTCACGAATAAGTGAGATGCTGGACCCTGCAGAGGTTCCTCCAGTTCTAACAAACTGTGTCCTCTTTAGCCCCAGAGGCTCTAATGCAAGCTCTGGAAGATCTGGACTATCTGGCCGCATTGGATGATGATGGTGACCTGTCAGACCTCGGAGTCATTCTGTCCGAGCTCCCCCTGCCCCCTGAGCTAGCCAAAGCCCTGCTGGCTGCCTGTGAATTTGATTGCGTGGATGAGATGCTAACCCTAGCAGCCATGCTCACCAGTAAGAACATACCCCATCTTCAGTCACTATAACTAGCTCAGACATTCCCCTCCCTGAATTTATAGCTTAGCTCCAAGAGACAGCAATTCTATCTGCCCACGCCACTAACACTGTTCTGTTCCCTCCTCCCCTACATACTCTCTAGCTGCCCCTGGGTTTGAGGGCCCACCAACGTGTGCAGAGGAGGCCGCCCGACGACGAGCATTGGAGCATCCAGATGGTGACCACAGCACCCTAATTCAGGTGTATGAGGCCTTTATACAGAGTGAGTGCCTTTCTCCCTTTCTCACCCCCCCACCCTCACCCCCAGCAGTCCCGAGGTTTCCTGGAAATGGAAAATAGCACAGACAGGGTTTGTGGAGCTGTGGACAGGCAAAAATGCTTAGTAAGGGATGGAGACCTAGGGAGGGCTGTGGGAAGTCTAGGGTGGCTGATTTCTGTTTCTCCTAGGTGGGGAAGATGAGAACTGGTGTCAAGCTCGGGGTCTGAGCTGGGCAGCATTGTGCCAGGCCCGGGCCTTTCGTGGGGAGCTCCTGGAACTGATGCGTCGAATCGAGCTTCCCCTGTCTCCACCAGCATTTGGCTCTGAACAGAATCGAAAAAATCTTCAGAGAGCGTTGGTGTCGGGGTACTTCCTGAAGGTGTGGTTGGGAGGGACCGAAGAAGCCGAGAATGCTGGTCTTGGGAGGGGCTGCCTCAAAGCAGGTCAGAAGGGATTCCTCGGGCTAGGAGGAGATTCTGTGAGGTCATTTGTGGGCCCAGGCTAAGGGAGGAAGGTCAGACTGGGGGAGGCGGCAGTCCACTTGGGGCTTGGCCCTTTTGTCTCCCAACCCTTTAACACTTTTTCTGATTTTTACTGTTGCCCTTCCACTTGTACCCTTTGGCCTCCTTCATTCAGGTGGCTCGAGACACAGACGGGGCTGGTAATTACCTGCTCCTGACCCACAAGCATGTGGCCCAGTTGTCCCCATCCTGCTGCTACAGAAGTCGACGCCCGCCAGCCCAACCTCCACCCTGGGTACTCTACCATAACTTTTCCATCTCCCAAGACAACTGCCTCTCCATTGTGTCCGAGCTCGAACCTCACATGTGAGTGCCTTAATGCCCTCTTTTCTCTCCATGGGAATTATAGGGCATCTTTTGGGAAGGAGTAAGTGCCTTCAGGGACAAGTTTCCCAAATCAGGGGTGAGTGAAGATCAGGTGAGAAACAGCAGCCAAGCATATTTCCCTCTCCCAGGCTTATAGAGTTGGCTCCCCCCTACTTCCTGAGTAATTTGCCTGCCAGTGAGAGCCGAGACCTTCTGAATCAGCTGAGGGAAGAAATGATGACAGGAATCTCACCAGGGAATGAGCCTCCCACCCAGGACCTCGACCTAGATGACAAGGATGCCTGTGCCCTGCAGTGATCCCTGCCAAAGGAACCATCCTGGACATGAGCCACAAATGGAAGCTGCCCTAACCTGACTCAGGGCTTGGACACAGAGCTGGCCAGATACATCGTCCCTGGGTTTTAGGGCAAAGTCTAAAGCCAGCAGGTGGGGCCTAGCAAATTGTATGACTGGAGGGGACGGTACGGCTGCACAGAGACACAGTATAAGGACTTGGGAGTACTGGGTTCAAACAAGAAAGGGCTTTAACAGGGAAGGGGCAGGTGCTCATTAGCCCAAAGCCAGAATGATAAGACTTCTGTGGGCGGCCAAGTCCATGTCTTAGGCCTGTCCTTTTTTGTTGGAGAAGAGTCCACATGCCTCTTTCCTCCCTTTCCTAATCCTCAACCCTTCATAAAGCTTTTTCTATGCCTAGATTTTTCTGGACTTCTTCTTAGACACATTATGTACTGTGAACATAAGGAGTTCGTGATCTTGGGGTTTGGGAGTGGGGTGGGATGGTGACAGGCCTGGAGTCAGAAAGACCTAAGTTCAAATCCAGCTTCACACAAAAGTTGTATGTCCTTGGGCAAGTCATGTAACTGCTGTTTGCCTCTGTTTTCTCATCTGTAAAATGGTGATAATAATAGCACCTACCTCCCAGGGTTGTTGTGAGGATCAAATGCTATAATTGTCAAGTGCTTGGCACAGTGCCTGGCACATAGTAGGCACTATATAAATGTTAGTTAATATTGTTGTTGTTGTTATTTCCAAGGCTCAGGTTTATTCTGCCTCATCCTGTTTCAGCCCACCTCCCTAAGGACCACCCGAACTGGATGATTTGGTCACAGCTATCTTTGGCCTTCTCAGGAAAAACACTGCATTAAATTTTGAGATAGAGGTGGTACAGGCTGCTGAAGGCTTGCAATCAGCCATCATAAGTCCCTTTTCCCTAGGTTCTGCCATGGTTTCTACTTGGAGACCATTGTAACCATCCCCCTTGTCTCCTCCCTCCCCCTTCCCCTCCTTGTTTCCCTCTTTGAGCCATCCCAATTCCCTGCAACCTTCACCAGCCAAGGGAAAAACTCTAACCTTTGCTTTAGGCACATCACCACCACCGTCCTCATAGGCTGAGAGCTGGAAGGATTTCAGAGATGTGATGTCCTCTTCTGTGAACTGTCTTGGTCTCCTCCACTGGGTCCTTCTCCTACTGGGTCTGCTAAGTGTGGGCATCCTTCAAGATACCTCCTCTGTTCTCCTACAGTCAGTCCTTCCATCCCAATGGACCCATTCTTTCTTGTAGTTTTCCACTGCCACTTGTATTTGAGTCCTAGATCTATAACTATCCCTAACTAATCCTTCTGCTGGGAACTCTTTACAGGATTCATTTCATTCATTTTTTCCCCAACTACACTACCTCCCCCTTCACTGTTCTCCCAGCCCCACCACCATGGATTTACCTTTGATAAATCTCTTAGCTCTTTCCTTTGCCCACTTATTTCCAATAGGCCCTGTGAATTTGAACTCTGAAAAGTCCCCCAGCTAGTCTTTCCTGTATCCACAAGCCAAGCCTTACTTTGTGTCTAAAGTAATATAGTTCCCTACTTCCTATCAATTGAGATATTTATAAAGCACTTGGTACCTCGCCTGGCACATAGTAGGTGCTATTTAAGTATTAATTATCATCATTATTATTGTTCCCTTCCCTTTCTAGTCTATCTTGCAGGTGCTGCTGGTTTCAAAAACTCTGCTTCCCCATATTCCGACTCTGAAATTTACAATGAAGGACTTTCCTGTCAGTCCAAGCTCTCTTGTCTGGTTTCAAGCTTTGCTCAGTAACTTTTTCGGTGACATACAGACCCTTGTACCTGATTAGACGTGATACTGGCACGCCCCATTGTTTTCCTATCCTTAATTACAGACACGCGTCTTTTGGCCAACCTGAAGTAGGTGGCTCCACCCTCCTACTGAGCCTTCCCCACACAACCTAGTGGGAACTCCCCAACCACATACTTCTGAATGGTCAAGCCCTCCCCTACAATGACCTTCCCCTTACCCCACCCCTAATCGGTCATTCCCCAACGGCACCCACTCAAACGCACACCTCGAGGTCACGTGCTCACACTAACGGTCACACAAACACGGCTGCCCCCAGGTCCTGAGGATCACGTGACCTCCACACCGTGCCCCCTCTCCTAACCGTCAGAGTCATGGTCACTGGAGGATCCCGCCCCACCCTCATGATCCCTCTTCCTGCATGGTTAGCCCGCTGCCTCCACTCCCCAAAGGTGCGCTTGGCACTCGAGCCAGAGGCGCTGACGGATTTTCCAAAGCGCAGGACGACGGACTTGGACTGCGGACCCTGCAGCCTAAAGCCTCGCCCCAAACTGGCCCTCGCTGGTTGTCATTGGCCAATTATCAGTCAGTCCCACCCTCTAATCTCATTGGTCTGTTCGGCTCGACCCTGCCGGTCCAACTAGGTCCCTACGGTTCCAGGTAGAAAGGTGAAGAAGGAAAGAAAAAGCGGCAAAGACCGCGTGCTGAGCTGAGCTGAGCTGAGCCGAGCTGGGAGCTGGGAGGTGCGGAGTGATGTAGTTGCCACTTAGGGAATCCTGGATCCTGTCTCCCGTAATCCTTTAGCAATGTGAGCCCTCGAATCCGCAACGGGAGCCGATCCATAACAAGGGAGGGCAGGGGAGAGGGAAATGAGGGGGCGGGGTAGGAAAGGGAAGGAGCCCCCTCCTTCCAGGCAGCCGAGGTCTCCTTTACGGAGTTGAAAAAGGAACCTGCCTGAGTCCACAGAGCTCGCTTCCGACTCATGGACTTTTTATTCCCCGAGCTAATCAATTAGGGGGAGAGGAGGAGGAAGAAGGAGGAGGCACCTGGCGAAGGCATGTCCTGGCCACTTCTCCAGCCCCACTCCCCACTGTCCAGCTCTTAAGTATCCGTGGCCTCAAGTAGCCAGTGAGCTTGCCCTTCCCCTCCCCCTCACATCGAAAGCTCAGTGGAGGTAGGGTGCGGGGGGAGAGGGGGTGTCCTACCGCATCAGAACAGAACCTGGGACTTGGCCTCCAGTAGGGAGGGGACAAGGAGGAAGTGTCTGGCCAAATGGAGGGATGTTGTGGCCGGTCTGGGAGGGGAGCACGGGGGGGGGGTACAGGAGGGTTGAGGAAGGGGGTCCTCTTCTGGCAGGGGTGTCTAGCCGAGTCCTACTGGGGGCCAGTGTGTAGATCCTTCCATGCATGGACAGTTGGTGGCCAAGGGCTGTCTGGCTCTGTAAAAGTGGGTATAGGTAACAGGCCAACACTGCAGAAGTCAAAGCGTCCAACCAGGTCCAGGTGAGAGTGCCAAACCAGCCCTGTCTGTGCAGGAGGGAAGTGTTTGATATGGAGACAAGACAAGATATCCCGTCCAAGTGGGTATCAGATGGTATCTGGTCAACCCTACAGAAGGCACGGTGTCCGGTCTGTGGATAGGCTCTAGGGATGCAGTGTTTGGCCATGTCCTGGAGGGCGTGGAATGTATTCCCCAGGTTCTGAACCAGGGTCCTCCTCAGACAACAGAGGCGAGGCCAGACACGGATGCGACCTTGTTGTCCTCAGCCCAGGGTTGCAGATTCTGCAGCGCAAACAGTGAGGAGTTGTGGAGACACAGAGGGTCGGGGGGCAGTGGCGGCCGCAGCGGCCTAGGCAAGGCGTCCTGCTGGAGGTGCAGGAGCAGCCTCCCTGCGCGGTGCCTCTCGGCCTCTCGCTCTTCGGCAGTTTGCCGCCTGCATCAGGAGACCAGAGTTAGCAGAGAGGGTCGGAGGAACCCCTCCTCCTATCCTAGTCCCCCACTAATAGAGAGCGAAGCGACTGCCTCTCCGTGCATGCAGACAATGCAGGCTCACTGGACTCCCAGTTTCTGGGAAACTCTGACCTGCCTACCCCTGAATCCGTCCTCTCCCACTCACAGTGGCGTGCCCAGTGCTCCTCTGCCAAGACTATCCCCCCTTACCGCCACTTGGTCCGCCGGTTCTGGAACCACGTCTTGACCTGCGCGTCCGTCATGCGCAGGGCCTTGGCTAGCGCCGCTCTCTCGGCAGAAGCCAGGTACTTCTGGCGCAGGAAGCGCCGCTCGAGCTCCAGCACCTGTGCCCGGGAAAAGGATGTGCGCGGCTTCTTTCGCTTAGGCGGCGTCCGGTTCTGGTAAGGGTGACCCACGCGGCGGGCCCCAGAGAACGGGGACAGTGCAGCTGGAGGGAGGGGAAGACAGAGTGTCCCAGCCCAGCCAGCGCCGGTTGCTACCCTCAGCCGAGCCACAGCAGGTGGGTGTGCTGGATATCTAGACTACTCAACCCTCCTTCCCCTAGTCCCCTGCGCAGGCTCTGGGGCACCCAGACTGGACATCTAAGTCTCCTTACCCCCACCAAGCCCAACCCAGCTCCTGTACGGGCTCAGGATCGTGTAACCGGTACCTCTGGGTTCCCCACTCCCCACTCCATCCCCATAGCGCTTCCTAGATGCTGAGGAGGCCCCTTTCTCCACAGTAGTATTCTTTGACCGAAGGAGAAAATGAATCCCAGAGGCAGGGGAAGAAGACAAACGAAAAACGCTGGAATCAACTGCTCTTCCCCAGGATCGTGTTCTGACCCGTAGGGCAGACCCGGTGGAGAAGAGGGTGGTGAGGCTCAGATTACACCAAGTTCCCATATGCCCATAGCCCCCGGCGGTTACGGGTATTTTGGAACTCCTAACTGCACCCTTTCCCTAAGATTTCCCCCATCTCTATGTATATAGTCCTGGTGGCTGCTTTCAAATTACTCTGCGTCTCTAAAGCATTTTTGGATTCCTTCTAATTATCTTGGCCTAGGTCCTGAGATTAAAGAAAAGTGAAGGCAGGTTTAGTGGGAGTTGGGGAGGGGTGGAGATTAGAAGGTTAATAAAATGTAGATATCCAGCCGGGAGGAATTGAGACCTCAAGAATGATAATCTGGGGATAGAGATGAGGGATACAGGGAGGCAGGTTCTAGTCAGGAGGTCTAGGGAAAGCTAATGTTTGGGGGGGCAAGAAAAGATATCTTTAGATGTGTCCTAAAATTAATTGTCCAGAAAGTGTGGGGGAGTTAAATTTGGGAGGAAAGAATGGATTAAGGGTGGGATATGTGGGGAAAGTGGTCTAGTGGTATAGGATTTTAGGATTAGATGGGGGAGGGGAGTGGGGATTCAGGAATGAAAATCGAATGGCCAAATTGGAGGAAAGAATTCCTCACGAATTTCCTAGGAAATTAGAGTATTTAGTATTGGAGAAATAGGGAGGACAACAGAATTTTATAGAAATACTCATCTTGGAAAGAGGGGTTTTTATTGGGTTATCCTGGATTTGGAGATTTAAAAAAGAAGTGTGTGCCCAGGGGTGATGTTTCCAGAGCCCAGGAATACTAATGGGGGAGGGGAGTCAAGGATTTCCCAAGGAAATCCTGCAATTGAGAAAAGGTAGGGAGGCAGTGGGTTTACACATAAAAGTGAAATTGGGATACTGGAGGCTTGGAAATGTTAGTTTGGGCAGGTCAATTTGTGCTGTGAGGGTTTTGCTGATCCAATACTGGGGGAGACAGGAGAGGGGAGAGAGAGAAAGAGAGTTTGCTGAGATGGTTCCTGAGGCCGTCCTAGATTGGTGAGGAAGGTTGGATTAGGAAATTGAGGATTCAATACTAAAGAAGAGTTTCAAAGTATCTAGTGGTGGGGCTGATGCACTAGTGGTGGGGAAGGAAGCTTGAGTGAAGCAGGATGGGGCTGAAGGTGAAGAAAGCCTGCCCCACCCCACCCCCTCACCTGTGAGCCGGTCCTTGGCAAAACGGCGGCTGCTGTCCATCCAGGGGAAGGTAAGGCCTGATAGGCCGCTTCCAGCGCCTAGCCCGGGGGTGCCTGGGGCTGCAGTCGGGCCCCCGGTGGGGGGCGGCACGGGGAGGGGCCGATGGGCGGGGACGCGGATGACGCCCCCCGCAGACCCCCCGCCGTGACTCCCCGGAAGAGAGGCCAATGAGCACGAGGGGCCATAGCCCGAGGGCCCAGCGTACCCGCCAGTATACAGTGCACCTTCAGTCTGCCCCACGCGGCCGGGACCTGGGCCAAGGCAGCCGCTGCCAGGGGGCTCGGGGCCGCTCAGGATCTGGTCGATGCCGAAGCTGATGGGTTCATGGTGCTGGAGAGTCTGCGGTGCTAGTCCGACCGGATCCATGGGGAAAGGACCTGCCAGGACTAGGTCGTGTGGCGGAGGTGAGGAAGGAGAATCGGCGGGGGCTGCAGTTATGGGGGGCGGCGTCGGGCGCTCAGGGGCCCGCGGGCTCCGGGAACATCTCTAGGCGCTGCCCGGGACCTGTGCCTGTTGCCCTGCGGCCCAGAGGGGCCGCCATCTCCGGTCGGGACTGGGAGTGGGGTAACTCCCGGACCCGCAACTCCGGGGCCCTGGCCCCGAACTTGGCTGCCGTCCGGACTCCGGGGCTTGAGACCGATGGACACACAGATAGACGGACACTGGGCTGCGGCTGTCCAAGTCCGGGGTGGATCGGGTTGGCCAGCTCTGGAGAAGACTGACAGCTCGGCCCCCGGGGGCGGGGCGGGGCCGGCCCGACTCGTTAAAGGGAAAGAGCTGCCTGTTTGCGCCGAGGTGTGTGGGGCGTATGATGGGTGGGGGAGCGGACACCGAGCCTTGAGGTCAGCTGGGGTGGGGGTGCTCTCTGAGCTTAGCTTGGGACCGCGCCCCGCAGGCAGGAGTGGGGGGAAGGGTCGGGGGGGTGGAAAGAAGTGAAGGCCTCTCCCACACGCCCTTGCCTCAGCAGCAGGTGCCTTGAAGTTGTCCTGCTTGGAGGTGCGGTCAGCCTAGCACGCCTACCCCCAAGGCCCTAGCTTAGATTCGAAAGAGGGCCTGAGCCGGGCAGAACCTCTTAGCGACCTCAGATTCGTTTAGGTTTCAGGCTCGGCTAGCTTCGAGTCAGGATCTCGTTGCGCCTGGACATGCACTGGTGTTGCTGGAGGCCTCCGGGGAAGGAGAGACAGCTGGTGGTGGACTAGACCCTGAGAAGCCACTGGGTGCTGCGGGGTGGGCGTCAGGATGGGTGCGGCTTAGGGGGATGTTAGCAGGGCCAGATTGTCAGTGCTGGCCGCCGCACAGATCTGAGAACCCCAATAGAAGCGAATGGGGTGGGGCCGGAGAAGCGACCCTGGGTATGGGCAGCACTTGCTAACTTCGTTCGAGGAGACCCCAAAGTGCACTGCTTGGGCTCACTCGGGGGCCAGTTACCCCCATTTCTAGGGATTTCGATTTCTTGGGATCAGATCAAAGGTGACGGTGCAGCGCCGCTGCCTCTAGCGCTTGTCAATTGTTCTTGGCAGCCAGCAGAGTTCACTGTGACTCGAGGAGAATCCCTTCCTTCAGGGGTTCATTTCCTATCCATCCCAACTGCATTATCCCTGGGGCCCCTTTCACCTGCCTTCCCTGGATTTGGGAAAGGGACCAGGAATTGCCTGGCCTGGGGCCTGTCAATGATATGAAGTTATCGCAACCAGCAACTCTTCCAGTCTACCGCGAATCCTTTGATATTTGGCTAAATTCTATCCTCAGCCCTCGTAATAGAGAACCAGGAGTTCAACTGGAAAATTGGCATTTAGGAGGTTCGGACCTTGACTCAGGCCGGATGGGAGATCTGGGAAAGAGTGGGCACTGGATGCTACCCCTCCTTCTCCAGGATGGGACCCCCTGCCTCCGCCCTCACCCCCACCCCACCCCCAGACCCGCCCCCGCCGCCGCCCGGCCCCGCGCAGGCTGTGGTAATCGGGTTAGCGGCGCCGGAATTACATTACCTTCCCCAGCCCGGCCGGGCCCCGGGGGGGCCTGGCGCCTACGAGCCGGTCAGACAGGGAGCGGGGAGGGGGTGCAATTCCTTCTCCCCATGGACCCCTGTCCTCTCCCCAGGGCCTTCTCCCCCATCCTTGCACTCCTGGCCTCAGGCTACTTGCCTTCCCCAGAGGGGCTGGACGTGGTCCCTGTCCCCGTTCCCCATCCTCCCGACCAGCTGGGGATAGGCACTGGATCCCCTGAATTCAGATCCCCCATTTTCAGACAGATTTGGTTCCATCCGGGTGGCACTGAGTGGGCACTCAGGAAGCCTGGAGGTCGGGGGTGGGGAATTGATTGACTGATTAGTTCATGGCAGCCCTTCCCTCCCTTCCTCCTCCCTTCCTAGCAGATGGGCCAGCAGCCGGGGCGCCTGGGGCTGAGCAGAGAGGGCAGAGGCTTTTTCTCTCGCCGGATCCATCAGCTCTTTCCAGCGTCTGGTGCAGAAAAAAACCTGGGATGAGGAGAGTTCCCTGAATTCCTGGGTACCGGCCCCACCTCGCTCCTAAAACCTGAGCCTGCTAGACTAATGTGAATAACAATACATTTCTATAGCACTTTCAGCTAACAAGGTGTGTTTTTCTCTGCAACCTGGAGTCAAGGAAACTAAGGATCAGACTGGGAAAGTGACTTGCCTAGGAAGTGACAGGGTTGGAACAGGTTCCCATAGGATCATAGGATTTAACATTGTATCGGTCCAACTGCCTGATTTTACAAAGGAAGCAGGTTAAATGGCTTCCCTAGGGTCCTACAGCCAGTGTCAGGAGGCAGGCCTCAAACCCAAGTTCTCTGACTGGATATCACGATGGCTCCCCATTCAGCTCTTGTTGGGAAAGCAGAAGGGGCTTGATCCTCATATGTTTCCTGGGAGAATAACCCCATTTGTAGAGGCCCTAAGTCTCCCTTTGGGGAGGGAGAAGGAAAGGAGCAGGGGCTGGTGAATGACTATTCCAGAACTGGGATCAGTGATGACAAAAGGGTGTCTGATATCAATGTTTCCTTTTCATGAGCCATTCCTTCTATAATCTAACCCCGCTTTTCTCGTTGTCTCCTCCTCCTTTTAAACCTCCCAACCACTAGAAAATGTTCCAAATTCTTCTTCCCTTCCTGGCTCCCTGGGAATGGAGGTCAAGTCTCACAAGTGGCTCCTGGGGGGTGGTGGGGGTGGTGGGGGAAGAAGCCAAAGAGAATGAGATCAACAAAGAGGAGTAAGAAAGATCATGAATGGGGGAAAGGGTGGGATGGGGGAACTATGTGTAACGAACCAAGCAAAACCATCCCTCCATACATGTGCTGCCCCACTTACACATGACCCTTTTCGTCTCTTTGACCCTCTTACTGAATTCCTCACAGGTTGGTTCAGGCCCTTCTCTACTTATGCCCACAATCCTCACATTCACCCCTCCGATCAGTGAATGACCTCACCTCCTATGTCCAGAGAAGATAGAAACCATCCATCGGGGAGCTCCCTGAGCTATGATTGTCTTGTCTCCCTGAGCTCTTGTTTTCAGCTCAAAATGCCACTTTCATCCCCACATTTATCCTCTTATCTGAGAAGAATAAACACCTCTCTATCAGGGCTAACCTGTGCTTTTGTTCTCACTTCATCTTGAAGTTTGTTCCCACATTTATCTCTTGCCCTAACAATTTCAGCCTTCTCCGTTGCCTTCTTCCCCTTTGCTAATACATTTCATATCTCTCCCAGGCCTGCTACTTTTCATGCTACATACAATTCTCTCCCTGTCTGTCTCTTTTTCTGTCTGTCTCCTTCCCTTCTTCCCTCCTCAATATCTTTCCTTCCTTTGACTGTCACACTAACCACTGGACTGGGAGTCTGGGAACCTGGATCAGCTCTGATACTATGTGACACTGGCAAAGCCCTGGCCACATTACCTCTGATTCATCATTTACTTCTGTCCCTCCTCTTTGTCCCTACTGCCATCACCTCAATTCAGACTCTAATCATCCCCTTATAGGATTATTAAGTGGCCTACAAATTAGTTCCTCTACCTCTGATCTTTCCTCCAGTACATCCAGCCAGAGTTATCTTCCTAAGGTACAGCTCTGACCACAACACTTTGCAATTCATTTCACATTATACCTATAGAATAAAGTGGTCTAGCCTTCAGGGTCCTACAAAATCTTGTGACAAACTGTTTTCCCAAACTTTACATCACCCCAGATTCAAATCTTGTCTCTGACATTTACTTAGCCATGTGATGAAGTTATTTAACCTCTCAGCCTCAGTTTCCTCATTTGTAAAATGGGTATACTTGTACTACCTACTGTATAAAACTGTCAGGAAGATGCTTTGTAATTCTTAAAGTGCTAGAGAAATGTGAACTTATTCACAAATAAGTGGCCAATACCCACTGTTTCCACTACTTTGCCACCTTCTGAGTTTTTAAATTTCTGGTTTTCATCCTTCCTATCCTCCCTATTTTGTGGAACCTAAAGACCTATTTTTTTTTTGTAGCCTAGAAGCTACCTTCTAGTGGTTTCTTTCTGTATGTCCTTTTACCAGACTGTTTTTTCCCCACTTTAAAAAAGTACTGCTTTTTTAAAATCACCATTTCCAAATCTATCTCCCCCTCCTCTTCAGTAAATCATTCCTTGAATGATCATACCAATTGACTCAGACAATATATTCAACATTACACACCAATAGGCACCCCACTTCTGGAAAAAAAAGAGGGAGTTACATGTTTTCACCTCTCCCCTGTGGCCAAACTGTATCTTAATTACATAGTGTTCAGTTTCTTTTTTGTTCCTTTCATTTACATTGAAGATGTTGTGCATATTTTACTCTCTCTCAGTCCATGTCTTCCAGCTTCTCAAAATTCTTCTTGTGTTTCTCATGGTGCAATAATATTGCATTACATTCACATTTTGTGTATTGTTCAGCCATTCCCCAGCCATGTCCCAACTGGCATCTTCTTTCATTTCCCCTTCTTTGTCACAACAAAAAAGTACTATGAATCTGGTGAATATAGGGCCTTTCTGTCTTTGGCCTCCTTGGGAATATATGCCTATAGAGAGAATCTCTGAATCAAAATGAATGGACATTTTAGTCACTTTTTAAAAGCATGATTTCAGATAGCTCTCCAGAATGGTTAGAACCAATTCACATCTCCACTGAATATTGATGTCCCTGCCTGTCCAGTTCCCCTCCAACATTGCCAATTTCCACCTTTTGTCACTTTTGCCAATTTAAGCAATTTTAAGAAAAAGTTATACTGATACTGTTGTTCTATTTCCTATGACAACCTCTAACCACCAATAGATCCCATCCTAGTAGTAAACTAAAAGTAAGATCCCATCCTAATAGTAAGAATAGAAAGCAAAACAACACATTAATCATGTCTGACAATGTATGGCTTATTCTGTATCTCCTGTTATGTCTCTGCCAAGACAGACAGCGTGGTTCTCCATAGGTCTTTTGATGTTATGTTTGATCACTGCATTGAGAATGTCTCTGAAATCTTTCAAATATGTTTGCCCTAATGTTTTAGTACTGTTTGTTGCCTACCACCTCTTTGAAATGTGACTTCGTTCCACAATATTGCACAATCCGTTTTCCTCCTAATTCTGTGAATGTTTCTCCTCTGCAGGGAGGAACTCAAGGCCACATGTGGCCCTCTAGGTCCTCAAGGGCAGCCCTTTGGCTGAAGGTTCCCTACCCCTGGTCTAACCCTAACCCTCAACTTCTCTGTTCTTTTCTCTCTACCCACCCTCAGAGATCTCATCCACTCCCCTGGCTTTAACTGTGTCTCTATGCTAATGACTTCCAACTCTGTATCTCTAGCCCTGCACTCTCTCCTTAGTTCCATATCTATATTCCCAACTGCCTGGGTGTCCCTTTGGCGCCTCAAATTCAATATATCCTATACTGAACTCACCCTCCAAATCCTCTTGCTACTTCCAACTTCTTAATTTATCTCAACAGCTCTACTCACCCAGACTCAAAACTTGTCTCATTTTTTTTTCTAATCTCTCTCCTTGTGTCATTTCCCCCCCTTAAAAATCACTCTCATATTTGGTCTTTCATCTCCAATTATGCAGCCAACATCTTTCAAATCTTTTTCTTTTTTTTTGCTTTTTGGTGAGGCAATCTGGGTTAAGTGACTTACACAGGCTTACACAGCTAGTGTCAAGTATCTGAAGTCAGATTTGAACTCAAGTGCCCTAACTCCAAAGCCAGAGTTCTATCCACTGCGACATCTAGCCGCCCCAATCAATCTTCAACTATTATAACAACCCCCTCACAGCTGATTTTCCTGCCTCTAGTCTCTCCTGACCCAAACCTCCTAAAATGCTGTTTCGTCAAAAACTACAAATGGCTTCCCTAAACTGTCAAAGCCTATGATTCAAGGCTTTCCACCATCTAATCTCTTCCCACCTTTCCAGCTTTCCCTCCATGATTTTCCCATATGGTACTTCTGCTCTATCAAACGAGATATTTGTAAAGTGCTTAACACAGTGCCTAGTACAGGGTAGGTACTATCCCTCCCCACCCCCAACTCTACCCAGGCTGCTCTTCTCTTTAGTCCTCGCACACATTGATGATATGAGCTCATGGTTAGTCATGTGATGCTTTATAATTCACAAAGCACTGTTTTATTGCCCCATGTGAAATAGGTGATGTAGGATTACTCCATGTAATACCTACTTTGGACACTGCCTATACAGATTGCAAAAATTTCAACTTCTCACAAGCTTGAATGCTTTTATGATTTCTGTGGCTTTTCAAATTATTTATTACCTGAAGACCAGCCTCTGGTGATGAGCCTGCAGGCATTTAGCTAAGCTGATATGAAGAACACATACCTGTCTGAAAGCAGTTCAGCAAAATCTCATGAGTTGAATCTGATGGTATATCCAATGTTCCAAACCCATAGTTACTCACTTCTATTTTGTCTATTTCTGTTCAACATCTTTCCAGCTTAGTAAAACCTATCAGAGCCCTTCCTCTTTGGAAAGCCCAAAGTTACCTTCACAAAGAAAACATCCAATCAGGGTCTTTGTGAAGAAGTTAATAAGAAAATAATAAAATCAAATTTTAATTAAGCACCTATTATATGCCAGGCCCTGTGCTAGATGTAAGGGGATATAAAGACAGAAGCAAAACAGCTTTGTGTGTGTGTATACATGCTAGAGGTGGGGAACCTTCTGCCCCTTAATAAAAGGATTTATTCTCTGAAGTTTGGATTCAATCAAAGGGCTGCACTTGAGGACCTAGAGGGCCACATGTGGCCTCAAAGCCACAGGTTCCCCCCCTGGCGTACACATGTGTATGCACATACCAAACAAATACAAAGCATCTATAAGGTAACTTGGAAGGGAAAGCACTAGCAGATGAGAAGAATCAGGAAAGGCCTCAGGTAGAAGGTGGCATCCGAGCTGAGGAAACCAGGGATTCCCAGGTGACCTGAAGAGGGTAAGCATTGCAGGCATGGGACGCCCAGCACAGACTTGGAAATGGAAACTCGAGTGTATGAGGGATAGCAGGAAAGTCAG